TTTGGTCATGTTGTCAGAAGGGATCATTCCCTAGAGAAGGATGTCATGCTTAGCAGGGTGGAGGGTTGACAAAAGAGGAGGAGGCCTTCAACAAGATGGATTGACACGGTGGCTGTGATGATGGGCTCAAGTATAGCAGGGATCATGGAGCTGGCGTGGGATCGGGCAGTGTTTTGTTCTGCTGTGCATGGGGTCGCTATAAGTCGGAAATGACTCGATGGCACCTAACAACAACAACAACAAAGTTTATGTTAAATGTTATCTTTCAAGCAGTACTTTCAGCTGATCTGATGACAGACTAATAGGAAATAGGTGGAGCTCATTCAGGTCATCAGGTGACCTACTAACCTACGAACAAGGCCTCTAGGGAATCAGTGCTCCTGGGGAAGCTTTGCTGGACATGCTCTGTGTATGTGCAGAGAAGAGATGATACATGATGCTCAGTGAGAAGAAGGTGGTAGAGGTCTCGGCTGTTGACAGTTGCCACATAACAGCAAGAGATTAGCCAGGATGGTTTGCCACAGATGGGACTACATTAGCCCTTCTGGGACAAGCCTTCCAGCCTGAAAAAGCATGTTGTCAACAGTTATGTGCTTTGTTCTGAGTGATGGCTCAGTCTCTTTTCTCACATGCCACAGCAAGTCCGTCAGTTCTATGTCCAAATTTATCCCCAGCCAAATGATTTCTTGCTATCTCTGCAGCTACCAGCACAGCCCAAGCCACTGTCATCTTTTGTGTGGACCACTCCTTGCTTCCAGTCCCCACTTTTCAAATCTTAAAGTTGATAATATCTCTGCTAACCCTTCCAAAGGCTTCCAATGGCAAGTAATCCATATTTCCTATCAATGCTACAAGGCCACACTGGATTTCTCTCTGCCCTTTGAACACATTTCCTTTGTTCCTGTCTCAGGGTCTTTGTACTTGCTGATTCCCTCTGCTCAGAGCTCTCTTCCCAAGATATTTCAATCACTGTCTCCTCAACATTCAAGTCTCAAATCAAGCATCACCTCCTCCATCAAGCCTTCCTTAATTATCCTTGCACAGTAGCCAGACCGTCCTCTAGTTGTGCCCTTGTCCATTTACTTTCTTTCATTTTCTTTATGGTCTTTATATTGTTTGTTCGTCTAAATGTTTATTTTCACTCCACTTCTTCCATGTCAACTTGGAATATCAGCCTCATGCAGCAAGACCTTTGTTTGCTTCCCACTGTATTTCCAGCATCTTGCACAGAACTGGGCACAGAGTTGTTGTCGCTGTTAGCTACTGTTGAGTTAGCCCCTTACTCATGGCAACCCATGCACAATGGAAAAAAACACTGTCCAATCCTGTGCCATCCTCATAATTGATTGTAGATTGGGCTATTGGGATCCACAGGGTTTTCACAGGCTGATTTTCAGAAGTATATTTCCAGGCCTTTCTTCCTAGCCTATCAGTCTGGAAGTTCTGCTGAAACCTGTTCAATATCACTGACAGATGGCTGTGCATGAGATGCATTGGCCAACAATCAAACCCAGTTTCCCACATGGACAGCAAGAATTCTACATGGATACACCACTACCCCTGGGCACAGAGTAGCCATTTCATAATTTTTGTTAAAGGAAAGAGTGCTTTACAGAAGGAGAAGTGTAAATCATGGAATGAATGACTCCTTCAGCCCCAGTTCTTATGCACAGGTCACATACACCTTTCAGTATTCTGAGTGCAAAGCACAGTGGTACACAGTTATCAATGCCTATAATTCATGGCCATATTTCTAAAAAAATTATCCATGTTTGCCTTTCAACCCTAAAAATAACAAGGTGGGAGCATTGCTATTCAGATGTATGCAGAAGAAATAATATACAACTAGTCATCCTTTCCACTCTGGAAATAAGTGAAAACTAACCACACACAAAAAAAGAGAGAAAACCTCACTGCCGTTGAGTCATTTCCGACTCATAACTAGGCCTCATAGATTGGGTAAGACAAGGTTAGATAACAACATCATCTTTTTTGTATTGAAGCAAACCACCACCAACCCCAGCCCTTGAAGTCTCAGTGTCCTCAGTCTAGGGAATCATGCCCCTCTCCCTGGGAACTATGACTGAGAGTAGGGAGTCCCAAGCCCTCAGTTGTAGTTGGAGGAAAGTGAAATAAATTGAAAGATTAAATGAGCCTTATCAATAATTTGAAATTCTTTTTCTCTCCAATTCCAGGTCATGGTTCAACGACGATTAGTCAATATGCTGAGTGTTGTTCGTGAAATGGACAAAGAGGCTATAATGGGACGATTCCGTCAAGGAAAAAAGTCATTGTTAGGTAAAATGTACCTGTGAAGTAGAGTGATGCTTAGACTGATAATTTCTCTAAGCATGAGAATTATGACAGTAGCTGAGTAGAAACAAAACATTTTCATAAATCATGTATATTAGTTTCCTATTTCTGCTACAACACATCACCACACACTTAGTAGATTACAGTTCTGGAGGTCAGAAGTCTAAACTCAAGGTGCCAGCAGTGTTTTGTTCTTCTGGAAGCTTCAGGTAAGAATTCATTTCCTTGCTTTTCTGAGCTTCCAGAAGCTGCCTACATCCTTTGGCTCATGGCCTCTTTCTCACATCACTGTAACTTCTTACTTCTGTCATCACACCACTTCTTCTCTGATTCTGACTTCCTGCCTCTTTGTGATCATTGTGATCACATGAACCCACTCAGATAATCCAGAATAATATCTTCATCTCAAGATCCTTAATTTAATCACATCCACAAAGTCCCTTTCACCGTGTAAGGTAACATATTCACAGGTTCAAGAGATTAAGATGTGGAGATCTGTGGAGGATGGGAAGGGTATCATCATTCAGCTGACCACATCACATAACACAGACCACCTCCATGTCAACTTTTCCAAAAATATCTCCCCAGTTGATAGTAAACAAGTTGACTCAAGGCCAAGTTGTAACATCTATGAAATTTGACTATAGTTCCAACCTCCTGTTTTGTGTGCAAACCCTCCTGAAATCAGAGAAACTAGGATTGTTGTCATTTGTCATTTATACTTTCTGATTGACTGAGTCTAGTGCTGTCTCAACCTAGTGTTTGCATAGAAAGCTTTTTATCTCATGTTGTGAGACATAACCCTTTGTTGTTTAAATAAATTTCAACCCTTTGATCCCCAGGCTAGCAGGGACTCTTGGGTGCCTAGTCTCAGTAGCTTCTGGGCATCTAAAAGCTATACCACCATTCTCCCAATATATGTATTTCCAATCAGTAAATCTTATGCTGCTCCATTAAAAAAAAAAAAAAAACCTCAGTGCCATCGAGTCAATTCATAGTGACCCCCACTGGGTTTCCAAAACTGTAAATCTTTACAGAAGCAGACCGTCCCATCTTTCTTCTGCAGAGCAGCTGGTGGGTTTGAACCACAGACCTTTTGGTTAGCAGCCAAATGCCTTAACCACTATACCACAAGAGCTCCTTTATGCAAGTCCACAGGTAGACCCTAATCCTTCCAGACCCTCTTTTCCCCCTACAACTTGACCCTCTGAGCCTAGCTTAGCCTTCCCCCTGCTCTTTTTCTTTCTCTCCACCAATATCCAAATGTGTGTTTTGTGTTTTCCACGATATTTTACAGCATTTTAATTATTTATATTTTTTTCATCCTGGTAAATATCTCTGGTATTTAAGTTTTAATAAGGAAACTGTCTTTATTTTAATTTTATTTTACTTTATTTAATTTTTTGCATTACGGTAAATTGAAGTCAATGTCATGAGACAGTGTATGTGAACTTCTGTATGGGAAATGAATTTGTTATGCAAATGTTCACCCAAATCACAATAAAACAAACAAACAAATAAATAAATAAAACGCTAAAAAAAAAAAAAGAACCAAGGACTGAAATAGAGTGTAAAGACAGACTTGATGTGACACTGAAGTAAGACAGTTAAAATATACTATTTTTTTCTGCCAAAATGAAAGCTTCTGGTGTCCTCTACTCATTGGATGGAGAAAGAACTTGGTAGACCAATAGCTGCATACTAAATGCTGTGCTGTATTTGCTCCAATAAAGAGATGACATGTACAAGAACAACAACAACAAAAAGGCATTGTAAAATTTGCTTGCAAATTATGTGTGGATTATCTATAAAATGTCTTCATATACTTCTTTCGTTTAACTTGTTCCTTCTCTGATAAGACAAAGAATATTCATCAGAGATACTTTAATTAGGAATTGCAGTTTGGGGAAGTAAAAATAAAATAAAAGTTTAAAAAACTAGAAAGGGAGCTGAGGGAAGGATTGACAGAGGAACTGAAAATGAAAAACAGAAAATATGTGTGTGTATTCTTTTTGAAATAGTGTGTTATAAATTAACTGGTACATAGCAAATATGCAGCTAAAGACAACTTTATATAAAAACACTTTAAGAAACCCCCTAACAGTACTATCTTTGTTTTTTAACCATAGAAGAGAGTCCCTCCAGATACCTCTTTCTGCCTGGGATCAGTCAAAATGATTATTCCGCCCGGTTCTCTGTGACACCCAAGGACGTGCTTCCCTTTGCCTTCCCATCCTACAGGCCTCCTCAGGCCTCTGATGAGTTGGTAGGTGCAGTTTGACTGTGGGGTGGGAGGTAGGTGTGAGCAGATGGTGGCCGGAGAGTCATGAAAACAAGCCCTAACCTAGTCTCAGCCCCTCACTTCCTCCTGAGGTCCCAAGGGAGATCTTGGCCAGGGAATGATGACAAATGGGAACCCAGGATTCACCTGTTGCCAGCTGCCTTGTCCTGATACACCTTCAAAGAGCTGCCTGCTACAAAACCCAGCACTGAGCCCCTCCTAACTGCCTGAGAAGCAGGCCTGAGAGTAGAAGAGCAAAGAGGGAAAACCAAAAGGACCAGTTTGGGCCCCAGGAGGCAGACTGTGCTCAGCAGAGACCCTTCTGCTTCCTGGCAAATGGGGTGAGCCCCCACATCTGAGACCTGACCTATTAATTAGTGTGTGGCCCCAGAGTATCTAACCCATCCAACTCAAAATTCCTTTCATCTCTCCTCTCTCTATGTGACAGGGGGTGTTATAGCTCCTCCCTTTTCTCTTATAGGCACAATGATGCATTATAATAAAAATAATTGCTAGCCCTTACATTGCATTTACCATGTGGCAGAAAGCATCTTAAGACCTTTAGTTATATCAACTCATTTCATCTTCAACAAATCTGTGTTATACATTTATCATTTTACAGATGAGGGAACTGAGGCACAAGGTCACATAAACCAAACAAAACCAAACTCACTGCCATTGAGTCAATTTAACTCATAGCCACCCCTTCTTGGGTTTCTGAGGCAGTATCTCTACGGAAGTCGATTGCCCAATCTTCCTCGAAGGAGTGGCTGGTGGGTTTGAACCACCAGCCTCTCTGGTAAGCAGTCAAATGGCTTAGGCACTACGCCACCAGAGCTCCTCCATAATGTGGATGGATTTACTCCTGGGTTCTCAATTCTGTTCCATTGCTCTATGTGTATTAATGTACCAATATCAAACTGTTTTGACTATTGTGGTGGTGTAGTAGGTTTTCATATCAGGCAGTGTGAGGTCTTCTACTTCTTCTTTAGTAGTGCTTCATTTATATAGGGCTCTTCCATTTCCATATAAAGTCAGTGGTAAGTTTCTCCATCTCTCTAAAGAGTGATGATGGAATCGAAATTGGGATTGCATTATATCTGTAGATCACTTTAAGTAGTATTGATATTCTCACAATGTCAAATCTTCCTACCCTTAAGCATGGTATATTCTTCCATTTATGAAGAACTCTTTTGGTTTCTTTTAGTAACGTATTCTGTAGTTTTCTCTGTTAATAGGCCTTTTGTATCTCTGATTGGATTTATACCTAAGTATTTCATCTTTTGGGTGGCTACTATAAATGGTACTTTTTTCCTGATTCCTTTTCAGAGTTCTCTTTTTTAATGTAGAGGAATATGACTGATTTTTGTATGTGGATATTTACCCTGCCACTTTGCTGAATCCTTTTATTATGTACAGTAGTTTTCTTGATGAGCCTCTGGGATTTTCTTATACAGACTCAAATAGACATCTGCAAATAGAGATAGTTTTACTTCTTTTTTGCCAATTTGGGTGTCTTTTGTTTCCCTTTCTTGCCTTATTGCTTTGGCAAAGCCATCCAATACAATATGAAATAAAAGTGGTGATAAAGCACATTCTTGCCTGATTCTAATCCTCAAGGGGAATATTTTAAGTCTCCTTTGACAATAATGTTGTCCTTAATCATGTTGAGCAATTTCCCTTCTATTCCTATTTTGCTGAGCGTTTTTATCAGAATAGGTGTTGAATTTTGTCAAATCCTTTTCTGTATCGATTGACATGATTATGTGGTTCTTTTCCTTTGTTTTATTTATGTGATGGATTACATTGATTGTTTTTCTACTGTTGAACCATCCTTGTATACATGGTATGATTCCCACTTAGTCATGATGTATCATTTTGTTGATATGCTGAAAGACTCTATTGGCTAGGATTTTGTCGAGAATTTTGCATCTATGTTCATGAGGGATATTGGTCCATAATTTTCTTTTTCAGTAGTGTTTCTGCCTGGTTTTTAGTTATCAGAGTTATGCTTCCTTCATACAACAAGTTTGAGAGTATTCCATCCTTTTCTATATTCTGGAATAGTTTGAATAGAATTGGTGAATGTTTGGTAGAGTTTGCCAATGAAACCCTCTGGCCAGGATTTTTTTGTTGGGAGTTTTTTTTTAATGACCCATTCAGTTTCTTCTTTTGTGATGAGTCTATTCAAATTTTCTGCTTCAGATTGTGTTAGTTTGGGTAGATAGTGTGTTTCTAGAAAATTGTCCATTTCTTCTAGGCTTTCAAATGCATTGCAGTACATTTCTTCATAGTATTCTGTTATATCCTTTTTATTTCAGTTGTGTTTTATTCTGTTGTGATGTTGCCTATTTTGTTTCTTATTCATGTTATTTGAATATTCTGCTTTTCCTGTGTTAAATTTCCCAGAAGTTTGTCAATTTTATTAATCCTTTCCAAGAACCAACTTCAAGTCTTGTTGTTTCTATTTTTCTGTTTTATTTATTTCTTCTCAAATTTTTATTATTTCCTTTCTTCTGGTGACTGTGGGCTTTTTTTGCTGTTTTTCTAACTTTTGGAGATGTTGAATTGAGGTGTTGATTTTGCTTCTTCCTTCTTTTTTGATGTATGCATTTCTTGCTGTAAATTGTCCTTGAAGAATTACATTTGCCGTGTCCCCAAAATTTTGGCATATTGTGTTTTCATTCTCATTTGGTTCAAGGAATTTTTTTATTTCTTCTATTACGCAGTGGTATTTAAGCAGGGTGTTATTCAGTTTCCATGTATGGGATTTTTTTCCTTTGATCTTTCTGTTGTTGATTTCTAATTTTATAGCACTGTGATTTGAAAAGATGCTTTGTAGTATTTTGATGTTTTAAAATTTATTGAGGCTTGCTTTGTGGCCTAACATGTGGTCTATTCTGGAGAATGTTTCATGTGCTCTGGAAAAGAATTTATTTTGTGCTGTTGTTGGGTGAAGTGTTCTGTCTATATCTGTGAGGACTAGTTGGTTGACTGTGTTATTTAGATCTTCTGTATCTTTGTTGAGTTTCTTTCTAGTTGTTCTGTCCTTCATTGAAAGTGGTGTATTAAAGTCTCCTACTATACTGTGGAGTTGCCTATTTCTCTCTCTGATTCTGTTAAAGTTTGATTTATGTATTTTGGGGCTCTTTCATTGGGTGTGTAGATACTTATGGTTATGCCCTCTTGTTGGATTGATCCTTTAATCATTATATAATGTCCTTCCTTGTCTAGACTTTTGCTAGTTTTTTTTCCTTAAAATCTATTTTATCAGTAATTAGTATTTCCACTCCTACTCTTTTTTGGTTGCCATTTGCTTGGTATGTATTTTTCCATCCTTTGATTTTTAGCTTATTTATGTCTTTTTGTCTAAGGTATGTTTCTTGTAGACAGCATATTTATGGGTCATATTTTCTTATCCATTCTTCTACTCTCTATCTCTTGACTGGTGCATTTGATCATTTACATTCAGTGTAATTATCAATAGGTATGAACTTACTACTATCATTTTGCTTTTTTGTTTTTGTTTGGTTTCTTTGGTGATGTTGAGGTTTCCTTGTTCTAAATATTTTTCTGTGCTGAGTTCAATTTGCTTATAGATTTTCTTATAATTTTCTTCATTGTTTTAGCATCTGCTGAATCTTTATGATTTTCTTCTTTCTTATTTTGGTGAGAAAGTTTATTAACTTTCTTTGAGGTTACCCTGTAATTTATTATTATCTTTCCAAGTTTGAAACAGTCCTTTGTTTCTTGATATCATCTTGGCTTCCTCTCCATTTCAGAGTTCTGTAACTGTACCATTTATTCCTTCTTCTTCTTTTTTTTTTTTTTAATTGTGATTTGGGTGAAAGTTTACAGAGCAAATTCATTTTCCATACAACAGTTCATACACATTTTGTTTCATGATATTGATTACAATCACCATAATGTAACAGCTCACTTCCTACCTCCTCCCTGTAGTTATCTTTTTCCTGTGTCCTTCTTTCTTGTGCATTCCTGTGTCTGAGTAAATAATGGCCATCTGATCGCCCATGGTTGATTGTTCTAAACAGCGTACCTACCTGGTGTAAATGTTCACCTGTTTATTGTTTGGCTGGAAGCCACAGGAGTGAGTTCAATTCCAGGCCCAAAGGGTGACTAGGGGCTATAGTCTCAGGGGTTTCACCCATCTCTATCAGACCAGGGAGCCTGGTCTGTTTTATGATTTTGAGTTCTGTTCCACATTTTTTTCCCATCCTATACAAAATCTCCTACACTGATCCTTTTCTGAGTGGTTGACAGTGGTAGCTGAGTACCACCTCATTATAATCTCACAGTCATGTAGGCTGAGGTTCGCATGGTCCACTAGTCCCTTGGACTAATTGTTTCTATGCATTTTGGTTTTCTTCATTCTTCTTTGCTCCAGACAAGGAGAAACCAACAGTTGCATCTTAGATTGCTGCTTGCAAGCTTTTAAGACCCCAGTCCCTCTTTTTGCTTTGTAGTTGTCCTCATTTACAAATTGACATCTCTGTTTCCCTATTTTCAGTCTTGCAGGTTTATTTCATTTTTGATCATTCTAAATCTGAGTTGATTTCAGGGTGATGTTGTCATGGGTCTCATGCTCAGGTTGTTATCTGTCATTGTTGGTTCTCTGTCCAAAGGACTTCCTTTAGTATCTCTTGTAAGGATAGTCTGGCTTTTACAAATTCCCTTAATTCCTGTTCATCTGGAAATATCCTAATTTCACTATCATATTTGAACAACAATTTTGCTAGATATATTATTTTTGATTAGCAATTTTTTTTCCTTCAGAGTTTGATATGTGCCGTCCCATTGCCTTCTGGTTTGCCTGGATGGTTTCTATCAAGACATCAGAGTTTAGTCTTATTGGTTGTCCTTTGTAGGTAACTTTTCATTTTTTCTGAGCTGCTTTTATGATTCTTTCTTTGCCTTTGGTTTTGTTAAGTTTGATTATGATGTGCCTTGGTGATTTTCTTTTGGAG